TGTGTCCCTTAGGCTTAGAGACGTAGATGTTGACTGCGATGAAGTGAGCCCGGTGCACCGTTATCGGGCACGTCGCGGAGAGATGATCACTTACGTCCGTTGTAGGGAACCGTCTCGCCGACCGGAGTGCCGGTGTGAGCGATCGCGGAAACGTCGGCAACGGGGCAGTTATTCGCGGCGGAGGCCAGGGAGGCGAGGCCGAGGACGGCCGTGGCAATCGTCTTGCTGAGCATCTTGAGTTGTGTTTTGCTTGAAGATCCGGAGCTTGGTCGATTGAGAGCTGCACAAACGGGGATGAGACCGGACGGACGATTCCAGGCCAGGCACGGGAGGGGGAACGGACAACCCTTAGATCTTTTTAAGATTTAAGCTTCCTCCGGGGTCAACGTCTTTTGCCTGATTACAAATGTCCACTGTTCGGAATCATAATTGATGACCAGCCCGGCTTTTAGCGGAGGTTGGGAGGATCGGAGAATGGCAGGGGAGCAACGGTTGCGCCGTTATTCATCGCCAAGCGTGAATTCTGCACTGAGTGACTGAGCACCACCCTGGCTGAGAACCCTGGGAGGACGTCATTCAATTCAATCGCTCGTCTCTGAAAACAGCTGTGATCGGTGAGATGTCCGGCGGGGATAAGGTTCCCGTCGGGGCCTAAGAGGGAAGCCGAGGCTTGCTCCGCCAAAAATCGCACCAATTGGTGCCACCGGTGCCCTGGTTTGATGTTGCTTTGTTTACTGGTTTAGACGCTACGCCGATAGAGTGTAGTCGAGGTGATCCCTGAATTTTCCAGGGCAGCTTTGCAGCACGGGAAATGAGGATCGCTTGGGACGAATTGCCGTGCGCGCGGTGAGGAGACAACGTGGGGCAATTGCGAATCATGGATGGCACTCTCGCTGCCGATTCGGCGATTCTGTCCGACTTTTTAGCTTCCATGGTTTCGGTGAAGATGTCTCACCGAAGTTGATTGCGCCGTGTCCCATCTGAATTGTCACAACGCTCATCCATACAGATGGCGAGCTTTGGTTGAATTTCGTGTCAACTTGATGGCGAAATGTATCCAATGCATCCAAGGTTGCAAATCGTTTGTTTATTTTAGGCAATGATGTTCTGTATTTTACCAAGTCACTACGGCAATTCAAGAGGGTGGCGATGCAGGAGTCCTCGGACCTCACAGGGCCAGGCTTGGTGACAGTCACGCTATTCTCACGCTCTCACAACAAAATCTTGTTTTCCCGCTGAGTCTCTATTCTATAGGTATGCAGGTACGATGGTACATCACTGACTGACGTAGCTGAGGGCATCGATGTTAGAGACGGGCTGGTGACGTGCCTGCCGGTCGCGCTCCTCGTCTATGGTTTAACACCTGCTGGAATAAGTATATTCCAACAAGTGCCGCGCGACTCCTGTGTAACTTATGTCAAGAGCACTTTTTAAGAAAAGATTAAAAAAAAATAAGAAAAGAAAAAAGAAAGAATACTGTAACATCCCGAAGAATAACTAGAAGCCAAAAAGGAAAGAAAACCCTAAGAGATAAACTTTTTCGTCACGACGGAGCGCAGTATTTAAGGGCATGAAAGCTCGGGGGATACAAGACGACTCGTTCATATCATATCACCAGTCTCAGTACTATTTCCATCTCAACAAAGAAAGCCGCGATGAACTCCCATGGTTTCCAGAAAGCCACATGAGGGTACATATTTTCAATCAAGTGTGTGGCATTGTTCTATCTTATTCTAGTCTTCTGGTGATCTTGAACCTTTGTCCAATCTAGCCCCAACAGTTCCTCCCCTCCATTTCTACCGTCCCGCCTATGTGTTTCCGAATCTTAGACCATCTAGCACCAATCCACACAGTTGGCGTGAGTCTCTGCAGGGCATCCGACGAGACACTGGAAGTTCTTGTGAAGGCCGCAACCCCAGATGCAGACCTGTCCTTGTATCTGGATGCAATTCGGGGAATTTTCACCCGGGCAATAGGGCTTCTGGAGAGCGTTGCCTCGAGCCTCAACGGCTGTGCTGAAATCGAGAGGCAAGATTCCTTCGGGGAAGTCGGCGTAAGAGGGTGAGGCAGGCTGAGTGTTCTCAGGAGTAGGCGTTGCAGCAACGAAGCCTACAATGGCAGCGAAGATGGCCTTAGCTTTTAGTTAAAAGCCAGGACTTGAGTTACGGAGATCTTACAAGAGATTGGATCTGAATTTTGACAATGACGTTGGACTGGATAAGGTTGGGTTTGATGAGGTTGGGTTGGCTGAGGCTTGAAGATTTGTGTGATTTCGTGTGGGCAGTGATGGTTTTTGAGTTGAGGTTGATGATGCTTCCAAACTCAATAAGACGGGCAAACTCGTCTCTTTTATACCTCGAAGATGATACCTACCGATTTAAGTGTCTCTGGTATCAATGCGTACAGCCATGACGTGAATGATTACTGCCTTGTCTGCCTAAACTACCCAGATTTCCTAATGATGTCCATGGAGTCCTTCGCTTGGCAACGTTGGCGTTGAGGTGCTCAACGCCAATAACCTCTCATAAATCCTTTATGAAAGAAGTTACAATTGCGTAAAGGTTTCTTGGGGAGTCAAATGCCATCTTGCCGAGACACGGGAGCTCCAATAGCTGCGTACTTACATCCTGGTCCCTCGAAGAAGGAGCTGGACGATCGTTCAACTAGACAATTCGCTAATGAAGGAGGATTCAACGTCGCCTGGTTTTGATCCATACGAGAGGCACAGCAATAAAATTGTTGCCTGTTTCACGAAGAAGGAGTGCTGATTGATGCAAACGTGTTTGGTGTCTCATCCCATGGCGTGATTCCTATCTTGGCTCAAGTGGGTGTATTTGGGGCCGACACGCAGACAGTAGACTGACTTTTAGACCTCAATTCCTAAATGAGAAGTGGCACAAACTCTAGACTTCTGTGAACTCATTCAAAAGCAGACTGCACTGTTTACGTGATTTGCCTTATTTCATAGGCTATTATTCAAGTTGGAAGAGCTGGACTACCATTAGACTAAAGACTTACACTCATGAAATGCATTGAAGACACAACCCGCCGCTAGTCCTGTGAGGCTGACATTATCCATTTGCGCGTGCATTTGTGGATTTCGGGGCTGTGGCTACCAACCTTATGATCTTATCAGATCCAGGACCCCTGCGGCGCTAGATCCTTCCACTACACCTCACGGCAGCTAGGTCAAGAAAAGACTTTCTATGCCTGAATTAGGCATCCCGCGCTGCTAGGTATCCACCAGGTGGACGCCCGGGGAAGATGAAGAGTTCTGAACTTTGGACGCCGTTCGCTGCCTGGGGCTGATGGGTGCAGAGCGGGAGCGGACCGCCCCTTCCTTAGGCTAAGCGAGGGGCGCAGGCGGCGGGTGGCCAGACTTAATGATTAGAGAAACAGCTAAGGCATCCTGCCTCGTACAATTTTTCAAATGATACCAAAGTGATCAAAAACTGCATTGCTGAACGAGAAGCTTGCATGAGGGTGGGATCGTTGAACCAGTCCAATTCAGGCACTGAATACTTAAGGCCCACAAGCTAGGTGCACGACTGCCTTGAGTACCACGTACTAGGCTTTGCCGACTCCTGGAGAACATGGACAAGGGAAACACTCGGAGCGACTTTCTGGTGGTCCCGCGGAAGGGAAAATTAGATATCACATCGCAAAATGTGGACAATGAAACAGATGTCCTAGGGGTAGGACAGCGATGACCGGAGTGCCCTGCTTGGCTTTCAATCTAATCAATTCGCTCAAAATCTATTCAATAATCATATTCATAACCTACCTAGTAGTTAGTAACCACCTTCCGAGAGATGCACTTAGATGGTCTCTTGCCGTTAACACTTTGCAGCTGACTTATTATACTGTCCCATATGTTGGTGTTCGACCGGGCTTGCGACTGTGGCAATCAATTTTGTCAGATCCAGACCTTGAGCTATCGGATCTTGCAGCTACGCCCTACGCCGCAAAGATCTTGTACGTCTACATCGGGAATACCGGAAAACTTTTCATATACAAGGCCAGCAGCTAGTGGAGCGGGAATTGTCAAGACACTCATCAATCAACTTTGAATGCGATTCGCTGTCTCGGGTTCATGGGCCAGGGTTGCGTATTATCCATGCAATGGGCTTACGTGCGCCGTATGAAAGGATTCAAGCAACGTCGGATTCGCGAATATAGCTTGAATTACTTCATGTCTTCAAGACGATTAGCCTCATGGAAATGAAGCCAAAGATCATACATCCCTTGCCGATTTTCCACGTTCCCGGCCGCTGAGCGCAGTGAAGTTGAGTCCCGACACTTCAAACCACACGGGAAACTGAATTAAAATGTTTTCAGTTCATCAACCACATAAAAGAACCGTTTTGTAGTGTAGCAGTGTTTGTGAGAACCACCTCACTAGTTTTATGGCCATACTGGGATCTTCTTGGCATGTATTGAATGTTTGAAGCCGAATATCGATTAAGCAAGCTCGCACTGTGATTTGGGAAATCACAGATGTTCTCGCATTCATTGCCTACCACGATGGGCAAGTGTTGCGACGAGATAGCGTAACTCCTGGTTATTTCCATACCAACCCCTCGCCAAGGTACGGCAGCTCTCAAGACACAAAGTCGAGATCCAAGCAATATGCAAGTGCTGTCTAACTAGACCCTTGAATGGTCCCTTTGTATCAAACCTCCACATTAATCATCATAAATCATCGGTTTTCAAGCACCCATCGCTCCATTCGGCAAATGGTCTAAATGTTTGTGACGAGGTTGCTGCCGAGGCAGCCAATAATGTGATGCTGTTGGAACGGTTGTTGGAACAAACACACGCAGTCGACAGGGGAAACAGCGGTAGCGAGAATCCCGGTGAAGAGGGGTAAGACAACCTGAGCGAGCGCCAAGTTCCTCTTTTCTCCCTCCTTATTAACTCTTATTTTCTCGTGCGAGTCACGTATGTTCCTGAAATCTATCACATTACATTTCAATTGGTGCGAAGCCTCTAGTTCAATCATGTCCGATCAACAACAATCTCAGCCGAGTACTGGGCCGGCCTCCCCCACTGCGGCTCAGTTAGCTTCGCCGCCGGCTACACAGGCTGGAGCTCAGGTTCAAGCCAGTGTGGTCGGTACGCTCGAAGCAGACGACCAAGACCAAGGAGGACAAAATGCGCCCAATGGCAACGATAACGACGGGTCCTCAATTTCCGGACACTCAACCGATGAATCCCATGCGTCCCTGCGATCCAGTATTCTAGACTACCGGCGCGAGAATGGCCGCACGTACCACAGACTCAACGATGGAAAATATGTGGTGCCGAACGACGCTTTGGAACAGGAGCGACTGGACCTCGTCAATCATATGTGGACGATAATCTGGGACGGGAAGTTCTGCCTGTGCCCTAAGGATGATGGTGCTAGAAGGGTCCTCGACATCGGTACTGGAACAGGCGTGTGGGCTATGGACTACGCCGACACTCACCCTGAAGCGCAGGTGATTGGTGCTGACCTTAGCCCAATTCAACCCACGTACGTCCCTCTTAACTGCATATTTGAGGTCGATGACCTGGAGAAAGAGTGGACTTGGTCTGAGCCATTCGACTTCATTTTTGCACGCAACATGATGGGATCATTCTCCGACTGGCCTAGCGCTATCGAGCAGGCTTATAACAACCTCGAAACCGGTGGCTACTTTGAGATTCACGATACTATATACCCTATTCTCTGCGACGATGGCAGCGTCCCAGAGGATTCCCCAATCTCGAAATGGTCACGTCTCATGCTGGAAGCCTTCGAGAAGACAGGTCGATCCGTCACCATCGCCCGTCAATTTCCTCAGTTCTTGGAAGAAGCAGGATTTGAAAATGTCACAGTGACAAAGTGCAAGCACCCACTTAATGACTGGCCTAAGGATCCGAAGTGGAAGGAGGTCGGTGGCTGGGTTCAAGAGTCGTTGTTCCCCGGCCTTGAGGGGTTGTCACTCGGACTGTTCACGCGCGTGCTGGACTGGACTCGCGACGAGACATTGGTTTTCTGCGCTCAAGGCAGGAATGATGTGAAAAACACAAAGCTTCACGGTTATTATGACGGATTGTCTGTGTACGGACACAAGCCGTTCCCTAAGAAAGACTAGTGATAGCCGATAGATAGTTCGAACTTCGATGTTCCTGAACACTATTTTCGAAACAAGACGTTTGAATTTGTAAGTTCCGAAAATGCCCCGGCAATCTGTTATTGGGACGTTATGGTATGTGACAAGACTCCGTCACGTGGCCGTTCTTTGAGGAAGCCCTCATCGCCGTAGATTGAAGAGACGGAAGACGAAGATTGCCCACTCTCTTGAATTTCCATCAACATTCCATGCTGGCAAGAGGAATCCGATCAAAAGCAAAGTCACAAACCAATCCTAGTCCCAATACGAAGCTACCTCATGCGATGCTTGTAGGTTGAGCTGCAGCTTCGTCTAGGAGTTCGGCCACTGTTCTGAACTTCAGACCTTTGAAATACCTTTCCCTATGCTCAGCGATCTTGGAAGGAGAAAACTCCAGTGCTTCGCTGTGACCCATGATCTCATAGACGGCCACCGCAACGCTTGCGTCGCTTTCCTTCGCCACCAACTGCTTGATGCTCTGGGCGAGCGACTTCTTGACAACTTTATATTCGGCAAACCTGAGCTTCCCAAGTTCTGAAAGCTCGAGCCAGGTCATTTGCTGACCAGAAACACAGGTGAAGTTCTCCCAGGTGGACGGATCATGACCGAGGAGAACAGCTACGGCGCGAGTTGCATCTTTAGCCGAAGTGAAATCGACCTTCTGAGATCCGTTGCCGTACAGGGTGAATTCATTTTTCTCATAGTTCTGAACCCATCGATCGTCGTAATCGGCAAAGTGTCGCTGCGAAGTAGGGAGGAGATAGTCAGACATCCATCCTTGGCAGAAGAACGTCCACTTGACCCCATCTTGGCCCCGAAGTTTGTTGAGAATGATGCTGAGGTCATCGCCGACATAGAGGGGCTGATCGGGAACCTGTTCGTAGTTGCCCACCCATACTGAGGGGAGAAATATTTTGCACCGAGGAGAGGTGCGGCAAGCCTCAAGCATGTCGAGGTGGATACGCACGAAGTCGGTGGCGTAGCCCGTGATGGACGAAATAAGAGCATCGCAATCGACAAGATGCGATAGAATACTCTCAAGGGAATAGTCCGTAGTGCGTTGTTCAAGCTTCTCGAAGAAAGGCTTTGGACTGCGAGTCAAGATGACTACATCGTAGTCCTGGTTACGAAGCGCCTCAACGAGGTATTTGGCGATGTCGCCTGCGCCAGCAACAGCAACCTTCATGTTCAAGGCTCGGGTTAAAATCAGTAGATGAAATGAATTCCTGAAAATGGTGTAAAGCTCGGACGGAGGGATTGAACCAGAAGTTGGTAAGGCCTGGTGTTATGGGAACAGCGTGTTGTTTAGGAAGATAATTACCGGCTTTAAGTACAAGATGTCGGGTTCTTGGAGTACTCCGTCCGATGGACAAAAAGCTTTCATTTGTAAAAAAGGAGGTTGATAGTTACAGTTCAATCAAGGTTCCCCGCCTCATTACCCGTACGTCGGTGTTGTCTCGGTGTCCGGCAGTCGATGAGATCGGGGCGCCTTATTTCTCGGGCTCCCCGCCACGACGGCCCCACTCCATCATTCGGCCCTAGACTGCCGATTTCAAGCGGCCTTCACACGACCCATTCCGGGACCATCAAAGAAGTCAGACATTGTTGAATTCGAACTCATAGTCCTCAAAAACACTATAAGAGACCAGGCTGCGTCGTGGAGCTCTTATCACTTTGCTAAGCTGTATGTAGCGGCTATTTTTTCTCGCATTGGAGGTCTTCGTAGCCCTTGAAGGCGGCTTGCATCATTAACTCCGCGCGGTTGTGGATGGGTTCAGTGGGATGACAGTTATTTTGAAAAGCTGTGCTGCTGATAAAGATGGAATTGAGACGGTTCCCTGATCAGAACTGGTTGTGCTCCCTGTCGATGCCCCCGTGGTGGTAGACGTCTCGATTTCCAGAAGAGTCGAAAGTCCCGAGATTGACGACGATGCCATCGCCGACGATGAAGTTGCGGAGAAAGTTAAAGGCGAGACAATAGAAGAGGTTGCGATAAGAGAGGAAGTGGGCGAGGTCGAGAAAGAAGCTGAAGCGACGGAAGCGGAAGACAGAAATGAGGTCGCCTCAAGCGTTGTGCCCAGTCGTGTACTACCTGGAGTGGACCCGGAATTACTTGTTAATTCAAGGCGTTGAGTGGTTGTTGGTTCCAAGCTGTTGGTATTGATTGACAGGATTGTAAACGATCCTGCGGAAGTAGTCGAGTTTGGGAAGAAACGCGGGGTGCTGATTACCATTGTTGGTGAAGAAGTTCCAGGTGTCAGACTGGTAAGCACACCCATCGATTGACTACCCGATGGCAAGCTGATGGTGAAAGAAGAAGAAAAGCTGGTCGTGCTATCGATACTAACAAAAGAGATGGAAACAGTTGGAAGAAACGACGAAATCGCCGTGGCAGCACCACCAGTTGATACTGATATCGAAGAGAAGGAGCCTGGAGGGAGGATTTCAGAGCTGGTTATAGTTGATACAGAGGTGGTTTTACTGGTAAGGACTGGGGCGGCCGTGGTACTGGTATCTGAAGCAGGCAGGCTTGATCCCGAGTTGGCACCAAGAGAAGCGGGTGTTGAGGAAGTACTGCTAGCAATTGATGGCATGGAGAATGAAGTAATCAAACTGATTGATTCTGAGTTTGAAGTTGTCGAAGATACCTCCGTACCTGAATTGGCTGTGCTGGAAGTGGAAATATTTGTTGTGGAAGTAGTTCCTGCGGACGACGAAGACGGACTGCTCGAAGCGCTAGACGTGCTTGTCGTCAAGGTAGAAGCAGTTGACGAGCTCAGAGATGCAGAGCAAAACGTTGCAGTCCTCGTAGAAGCTGCCCGAATTCCATACACGGAGTACAGGGTGGTGTAAATTGCGATGGGACAACCTGCACTTGATGAAGCCGAGGATGACGCTGTAATCACACCACCACACTTGGGATTGCCGAAGGGCGGATAGGACTCCTGGCATGTGTATTGGTTACATCGGGTATTCTCCAAGGCCACGGAGCCGTCAAAGACAATGGTTGTGCCTGGCTTGGAGCAGTAGCAGGAGGTGTCGAGAATGATGGAAAAGTCTCGAGGGATCGCGTTACATCGACGTTGGCAATCGACCGGCCCTGTGCCGCTCCCTTGGTAGATGAGCTCCAGACTGGATAGGTCGGCGAGTGCCCCGCAACCCTCATATGCTGAGGGAGATGAGGACCAGAATTGCCCCATTTTAAACAGTAGCCAAAAAAGGAGCGTATGTAAATGTTGTTGAAGAAGAGTTCAACCTTCGATCTATTACGATATTTAAAGGGTCTTACAGCGGTTTGGTAAGCCTGTTTAGTTATTTCTTGGTTGCCCTGGAGTCACAAGGAAACCATTCCCTGGCAACTACTCCAGCCGGCGGTGTTCCAGATTGCGCTCCTAGCGGACATCAAGATCGAACCAACATTCGTCACGTAAGACAGTGCCATTCCGCAGCGGCCCAATCTCGTCGAACGGTGTCGCTGAGCATATCTACTAGTGTGTTACATGCCAGACATTGCCGATCTGATGAATGTGCGGCCCGGATGCGACTTCGAATCTTCGGCATGTCTGTCACCAAAGGGTGAACACAGGTCCACGAGTTGCTCACTCTTCGAATAGAGATTTTCAACGCTATATTCGCCACCAAGCCGTCTTTTGAGTTCAGGACGATAATCCCTGCCTCACTAGACGTTGCAACTTCAGTACAACCGCTAGTAGCAGGTATGCTTCGACACCATTACTTCTGCGGAAGACAGCATTTCGTCAAACAACGCTTTGACCGCTGGGCCAATAATGTTTGCAGGCATGTCCCTCTCCAGATGTACCTTTCCCGCCCGCAAATATTCGATGTCTGCTCTTGATGACATATTTGACGGGTATTTCATGATGCTTCTATACAAAACAGCGATTGCAGCCATGTAATTGGTAGACTGAAATCTGGAAGGCATTAGATCATCGCCAGGCAGCTTCAGGTTGTCAGATGAACTTACAGAAGGGTGTGCGTCTTCACATTGGTATCTCCCATGCTGCTCGATCAATTCGTCAGCAATAAATCAGTTGTCAGTCAAGGCCTTTCAGTTAGAAGGTTATACACACTTGTTGAGGGCCTTGATAAAAGATCTCGCGGCTTCAACACATATGGCCTCGCTCGCCTGAAACCGCGAAGGCTCAGGTTCTTCTGAGTCGCAAAACGCCGACCTCAGGACAACGATCGACAAGTGAATCGTGCGAAGAAAGTTGTAATAGTCTATGTGAAGCAAGAAGACGTGCGGGTGGGTATCCATCGGCGACAATACCACACCTTCTGGGCGACACGCGACCAGCAAACCTTCCTTCCAAGTTGCTAGGCGTTGGTCCACCTGAGAAATTCTCTGAAACCTAGAAATAGCTGAGCAATCCGATTGCATCACAAAACAGAATTGATTCTGAATTTGGTGTAACAAATACCACCACTGAACGATATCTAGGAATCCAGGACTCGCTTCGAGCTCGGTGAAGGGTTGGTGGTCAATGACCATGAACTTTTCGAATACTTCGCTTGATGTCCCAGGTGAGCGTCCTTGAGACAGTGATAGGTTCCTATTGCAGCACGTTAAGAGGAGAATTTTGAAGAAGTATCATGTCAGGCTCAGCTCACGCATCGAGACCAAAAGTCAAGAACCATAGGCGGGTGCGAATGGCGCGGCGGCGCTCGGAAAACCCAACATCTGGTGGATTTCTCTGGTGCAAACCTAGAGACTGTGCGATGCGGACTGCAAGGCCGCAAAACACCCATGCAATTCCGCACCTACCAAAGTAAAGTTGATATACGACCTATAACCCGACTACTTGTGAGAATTTATTTCTTGAACTCAGGCGTACCCTAACGTAGCAAACTCACGTGAAGTAGTATAATTTGTAGCGAGGCTTCACAGGGGGCTGCGAGCGAGTCCAGCATTATGGACCAGGCTTGTCGGTAGCAGGCAGAGCAGAGCTCATCGCCATCTCCGCATGGCTTAGATGTCCCGTCTCTGTCACTGAGAGCTCCTATAGAGATTGCAAGGTAGAACATGCAGTAGTCAAAAGTATCAAGCTGGGTGCGCTCGTAAGTGTAAAACATCTCAGCCCGGACCATAAACAGGTCCTCATCTAATATGGGCAGAGTGGCATTGATGTTGCGGAAGTATGCTACGCATGGAGAGAGAATATCAGCCACACGCCAGAAGTTTCTCATGTTTATGGTCAACCAACCTTGCAAGCTGGAAAAGGCTGTTCCTCGAGGTGGCAGTGACTTCCTTGACTGCGAAGAAAGACTTTGTAACGACGAAAGACCAATTTCTTCAATTTGTGGACCTGCTTCGACGAGAAAGCGGAGTTTTTCAGGCTCTAGAGGAAGATGCTGGCTTTTGAGACCGTCTGCTAGGCAAATAGCAAGGGTAGCAGCAACTGAGCTTCCACCTGGTAGTCAGGCAACGTGTTAATAGTTCAGTTGGGGATTGTGACATGTTGTAGCTTTGGCAATTCACTCACCGAGATGTTGGCCCTGAGTTTCATTCTGCCGAATATAGACGGCGGGAGGCACCGCGTGGGATTGTGAATTTGGATACCCGCCTTCACCCCGTAGAGTTTCTATGCTGGACACTTTGCCTCTGGTCAAATTCTGTGCAGAAGGCTTGGAAGCCGATACTCCAGGGGAAATTGATGGGAAATTATCGAGTTCGCCGTTTGGAGGTGGCTGGGCCCGTAAGTCTGTCTCGGCCTCGACCTCCGGAGCCAGGAGGTCTGTGTTAATATCGAAGAACTCTTCTGAAGTTTTGCTGTCAAAATCCCACAAGTCGGGTGGTACTGCATCTCCGGAGTGGCGAAAGTCATGACGGGCACGTTGTGATACTGTTTCGCCGTGGAGCCCGGCGTAATGAGACCATGAAGGCGCCATCACCGCTTGGCTTTCAAACGTTGGGCTTGTTTCCGCCGCAGGGTTTATCGAAAGACACACGCTGGAATCGTCGTGTTGATACGCCGTTTCGTGACCGCCGACATGAATGGTGCTTCCAGCAACCTCGTTGCCATGTTCAGAATGTCTCGAGCTATTTAGAATTGAACGCCGCCTTCCTCGGTCCGAAGAAATGATGCACTGTGTATTGTAAAGCTGGCAATTGAGGCAGGGCCGCTGGCCAGAAGTGCATTTCAACTGTCGGCGCGAGTAGGTAAGCACAACGATCTTATGTAGTTGAGAGCAAAGTCATTCCCACGTACCCTCTTCTTACGGCAGTAGTCGCAAGCTCGAGCCACTCGCTTCGGTCGGTGGTGATGATTGAAAGGTGAACCGGACGTATCAGGCATTTCATATAAGTGATTGCAGCGTCCACAAGAAATCATCAGAGGCAGATTTGATGCGAGGAAAGGAATTATGTTGATCAGGGCGAAGCTTCGCTGATAAAGGAGTTCGCATAAAAAAATGCACGGGCTCTCAGAGCTGCCGAACTACCTGTCGATCGTTTCTCTCTCGGTCCTAGGTGGATGGCCAAGCATCGAATCGACTCGACGGTGGTACGCACGCGACGTAAGGGAAACAAAGTTAAATCTACACAAGTAGACACCAACTCGTGGGCTGATCTGTTTGCAATGCTTAGCTACATCAGACGAAACTAATTGCCTCAATCCCTGTCGCACACCCATGGGTTTCCTGGCCAGACCTTGTACTCAGGTTCGTCTTCCTCCGTCTCTTCCCTGAGCAGTTCTCTCAATGATCATCCATAGTCATTGCCATTGGGAAGCCTCTGAATCGTATGAATATGGTATTTTGCAGGTTCGTCGTTCGTAAGGAAGACTCCGGAGTGATGGTCAAACTCAAACAGCGTAACCGGACTCTGGATTCGATAGTAGAAAGGGTCTGTCGAGCTAAAGCCGCCTATCCAGCAGAAATAGGTTTCCGAAAGGTGTTCGCGAATGTCTGCTAGCCGGAACTCAAGTGGCCCTGGCGGAAGAAGCGTACAGGAGGAAATGATTGACAAAAGCAATTCCCGCTGCTCGATGGTCATGTCGGTGGCTAGGACGCCTTCGTAAGGGATAACTCGGTTGTCTTGAAAGGCGCCAGCCAGATGTCTCTGCGCGTGTATGTTAGCCTAGATTTATGACCGGTGCTCGATACGCGCACCTGATCAGCCGGGTTCCATCGACCCTCTGGCATGGCTGAGTTGTGCAATCCGGAATATAGTTGCGCTTTCTTTTGCATTGCCGGCGAAAGCGACACCATTAGCCGTAAACCCAATGAAACCCAATGCGCTACCCTCCGCACACAGCGTTATCCCTTTATCCGGGCCATCGTCGATAATCTGCTCGTATGTAAGCAACCTCCCAACTCGCACGTTTACTCTCAGTCAACGTCCGTGGCTGACATACACTTGGCTCGGCCCCGAGAAAGACTGGGCCGACGACCATCTGCTGTCGAGCGATGAAAACATTGAGAGCAAGATGGTGGCCGAAAAGCATATATGACCAGGATTCTGTCTCTGAAGGTTCTCCGAAGATCACGAAGCTATGCCGCCAAGAGTCATGTCAGATCGGTCGTCGATATCTGGTTTCACTTACAAATAGCTGTATTCGTTCAAAATCGCCTTCTTATGGCAAAGTTCACCGAGAAACTTGTTGGTCTTCATTGCACCTCTGACTTTGTCGAACCCCTTGTCGCGGAGGGAACTCTGCACCAGGTTCATGATGGATTCGATTTTCGCTTCTTCCAAATCTTCGAGACGTAGGCCACACTTGAACAACATGAATTCGGGGTTCATCCATTTTCTCCTATTATAGATTTGCGTTTTCAGTTAGCACTTCCCAGGTTGGATTTGACATCCTGACTTACCAGTCCTCGGAATCAAGGCTGTGCGAGATGCAACTTTTCTCGCTAGGGCTCAGAACCTGCAACAACGTCCGGGCTGCTTGCACCTGGAGTCTATCAGCCACACTCTTGTTTCTCATGCACAGCCATCGAGCTACTATATTTTGTGTTGGAGCCACCTCATCCCGTAAAACATAGAGTCCCTCCTGTTTACGGCCATCGCAAGTGATGCCATGAAACGGGACTTCGAGATTTGCTTTCCAAGCTTTCCAAAGCGGCTGAAGTTCCGGGTTTGTCACAATAGTTGTTGAATACTTGTACAGGTCGCTGTCGTCAATGTCTCCGAAACGTTGCCACCCTGTAAAATGTCGTCATTATGCAATTCGGGGCGTCGGCCCAAGGATACTACTTTCCTTGTTTGGGTACATGGCCATGATAGTCATATGCGTTTGAATCGTCGGAGGTTTGGGCCATGATAACAGTAATGATGCCAGTCACGTTCTGGCTGATACTCTCAGTATTTCAGAGGTGATTATGGCAACAGTGAAATGGTTTTTATGTTTCGGCGTTGAAATATGCGAGATAAGGCCCACTGCTTGACTACGCGTTTTTGGTTTGGTTTCCGTGGAAGATGTCGCAAATCCAAGTCTGGAAGATGAAACTTCACCCGCCATCTCACTCTTCAGGCATTGAATTTGATGAACTACCAATCATAAGCCACTTGGACGGAGATGCAGATCGATATAATTACGGAAGACTCCTGGTACTGTGGCACTCCCAGTTTCCCCAAGCCCGTGGCATCGTTTCTCATCACAAAGTCACAATGTCCGACGCTGCAAAAGAATTCAATGACAAGTACACAAATGCCAATCTGGCAGCTGATGCATCACCTTACGATGAGACCGTTTTTCATTACCTAGTGCGACATCTGGAACTTGTGGACGGCGGAGCTATTGCGCCTGTTGCGCCTGATATAATTGTGAGTTACGATTTTTCTCTATCAAATAAAGGGACGCAGTGCTAATGGCAACCATAGGCCTCAATGCTTTGCGCTCAACGCCGTGGTGATGCAGTACCTAAACTATTCCATGATCTGGCCAAAGCGAGAGACGTCGACGAAACGAAGATGTTGTTCGCGTCATTTAAGCTTGCCCTCGACCTAAATTGGCCGTTTACTGGACTGCCACAATGTGTTCCCGCATGTCTGGGATTGATCGGAGAGCTCCGAGAGGTCGGTATAAGCATGTCGAATCAGATTGACAGGCAAGCTTTACCCCCAGCGAGACGATATGCCACACGATTGATGACATGTCATCAAGACCTTTGATCACAGATGCCGACTGGTTCAAGAAAGGAATCCAAACCAACGAAGCCATTTACCACGCTGTGGGAAACGCCGAAGTTCATCGTGTGATGGGTGAGGTCTTCCCAGAAATTAGTCAGTGGTTGCCATCTCGCTTTGGCTCATCAAGCTCACGTCTACCAGCATACATCGCGAACATTGCGGTATTTGGTTTCCTGATTGGAGGCTCCGAGAGAACTCAAAGTCTCCCTTTATGCGAAATCACCATTGCCGGTGCGGTAGCCGCAATAGGGGCAACGAGGCAGGCAAAGAGTCACTTCAAAGGTTCCATGGGGCTTGGGATATCCGTGGCATCAATTGAAGCTGTTTTGTATGCCGCGGAACAGGTGGCAAAATGGAATGGTGCTCAGCTTCCCGGGAAGATTGATGCAACGGGATTGGCGATGGAGGTTGAGACGAATCTTAGAAACCTGGGCGAAATGTAGTCAGTGCACATTGACTTCGAGCGAAAGTTTGAACCATTGGTGGACATGGAAACAAGATGAAACTTTTCGGACGATGATTCCCTTTTTGAGGTATGACTTTCCGAGGTCGTCACGATTAGGGTGTTCTCCGTCGTTTCTCAGGGACGTCGTTGAATTTTCTCGGAAGGTCTATGAACCGAAGTCGGTCCTCGGGCTGCAGTGACCACCGGCAAGGCTTACATAGTTCAGCTGATATTGACCCATGGAAAAGTCGGAAGAGCGATGCACCATCTCTCCGATCGTGACCATGAAGCTGTTCACACCTTACCTAGGTCAACTGGGGCAGTCAAAGTGCATGTGCTTTTGGTACCATGGAATTTCAATCGGGCGGGCTTTGCCAAGTATCTGGCATTCAGGCCTCCGCGGAACTCACTTCCCGGCAACTGTCGATCTTCCAACCATCTGGGCACTGAGCCTTTGCACTTATTCCGGGAAGAGGTCATTCTAAGCCTTTCTCAATGCTTCGTTTGCAATTCACCATACCAGATTCATACCAAACTCCGTCTTTCAGCGATACTGAGCAACTTCTAACGGCGATAATGGACTCCAAACTGGTCATCAACGGTTATAACGTGCCACTATGCGACACAGTCCGACCCGAAAATGAAGACAACTTCAAAGAAAGAAAGAAGGAACTTCTGCCTGTGGGATGGCGAAAGACACCGCAAAGTCGGCCTCTTCCTGGCGAAATAATCTACGAGGTGAATGAGGAGATGAAGCACTCCGACGGAGTCAAAGTAAAATCGCCACGTCACGGGACCCATGAATTAGTACCCCTACTCAGATTCTGCAGATATACTACGATGTTTGTCGGCCGAACATCTCGGAAAAGGTTCCTGCGCTGCTTGCCTTGAGCCCCTACGGAAAAGGAGGGCATGGTTTCCGCAACTACGATCTCATGCCGTATATAGTTGGCATTAAAGAGGAAATGCTCTCTGGACTGGAGAAGTTTGAGTCGTACGTTGATATGAAGACCCCCTCGTACTCGGATAGTTGCCAAGAACTTCACAGGGTTGACCCCGCCGAATGGGTTCCACGAGGTTACGCCATCATCAGTGTTGATGTCCGAGGTTCTTGGGACTCGGAGGGAGACCTCTTCATTGAGGGAACAGGAGCTGGTTCATACAGGTTCTTTGACTTTATCCTTCGGATATTACTGATACCTTTGTAGGCCGAGACGGTGCACAAATCGTGGAGCATATCGCTAGTCTGCCCTGGTGCTCGGGCTCCGTGGGAATGCAAGGCAATTCGTGGCTGGCCCAAGTACAATGGAGCACCGCGTCCCTTTGCCCTCCATCTCTCAAGGCTATTGCGCCTTGGGAAGGCTTCACGGATAAATATCGCGACGTGTTATGTAGAGGCGGTATACCTGACGCTACCTTCGACAACCTTCTCTACCGTGCAACCGTCCGCGGCCGACAGAAACGAGAGGACGTCGCGAAAGCAATTAAGAAATGGCCCTTGATGAATCCCTACTGGGAGGACAAGATAGCCAAAATCGAAAACATCGATATTCCCATGTACGTCGTTGCAGGCTACAGCTCCAGCATCCACAGCTACGGAACCATTCAAGGCTTCCGAACAGCTAAGAGCAAGAAGAAGTGGCTTCGGGTTCATTGTACGCAAGAATGGTTTAATATCTACAGACCCGATATGACAGACGACCTTCAAGCCTTCTTTGATCGATATTTGAAGAACATTGAAAATGACTGGGAGAAGACCAATCCCGTGCGAGTGTCAATTCTGACGTTCGGGAACCGCTTCGGCCCTGTGAGTGCCCTATCATGCCTTGGGTTGCATGACTGACCAGCTGGTGTTCTTAGAAGCCGATCGAACACTTCCCAATGGGGAGTTATCCCCATGAGAAGACCGAGTACAAGAAATTATACATAACCGAGGACAAACTCTCTCTCTACTACCCGGAAGTCACCGGCGTTGCCTCTTACCAATCCGATGATGCGAATGCAAAGACGGAAGACTTTCTCTTTACATTCTCCGATACTACCACATTGATGGGATTTACTAAGGCTAAGCTTTGGGTCTCTTGCAATGATTCGGATGACATGGACATATATGTTAGCTTGAGGAAAGTCAGCAAGTCTGGAAAGCTACTCGAGCACATCAACATACCATGGACTGCGATACCCCAGAGCCACAGCTATCAAGAGGATGTGGTAGGCTCCAACATTATCAAGGTGAGTCGTTCGGGCCGTCTTCTGAATCCATATTGACGTATTCATGCGAAGTTCACTGGATCTCACGGAATGCTGCGTGTCTCCCATCGCGCTACCGACCGATCCAAACAAAACTCCATCATGCCACATCATCCCCACAAGGAGGTTCAGAAGGTCCCGCCGGGTGAGATCGTTCCCATTGAGATAGGTTTTTGGCCGATTGGGATGCAGTTTTACGAAGCTGAAAGTCTTCTTTTCCGTGTGGGGGGCAGCAAAGACGCTTACCTGGAGGTACCGGATATGCAAACGCCCAGTGTTTACGGGATAAACAAGGGCAACCATTATGTTCACTTTGGCGGGAAGTTCAACTCATATGTGGTCGTTCCTGTCATTCCGACTGTTTGAATAGTACGCTCGTTGAGTAGACCTTACAGTCAACACTCTCTAGGCGACCCTATCTGTCTTTCATGTAGACTGTCATCTTTGTTTAGTTATTGAGTTCTTACGACCCTCATAAATGGGACAGAATGATGTATCGCAGTTAGATATGTCTTGCCATTTGTTTCTTGTCTGTAGCAGGTAGGTCTCGAGCTTCATGACGCGTAGAGGGCGATAACGTTAGGGAGATGAGAGTAACACGCCGTTCAATTGAAACGTCAACAGCATTCAAATAAGCTTGACCCGGACAAGAGATCTGAGATCATAGATGCCCATGATCAAAGAGAGTCTGATCAACAGATGTCGTCATGGAATAGCCATGTATCAAGAGAAGAAATCCTTCCAGACCCACAAAAGAAGGTGTAGGTTACGTTGACCAGTTTCTTTGGTGTTCCAAAATATCCGGCATTGACTAGACCATCCACGGAGAGGTGAGGGAAACCTTACATAACATTGGGTAGGCCCAGGTGCACGTGCGTCCTCGGAAGCACCGTCATGAGAGCCAGTACTCCATATGTTCGATAATTCTACAACTAAATAACCTGCTTTCATGGCTTAAAACTGAGATCTGATCAAAGTGATCGCCAAATTTACAAATATTACCCATCTCATTCGTGCCCACTGTGGCACTTTCACAATGACAGACATTTCCCAAGCACCTGACAACCCAAACAATGAGAACCGCAAGCCGCCGGCGACGACCACGGTCCTTATCGTTGGCGCGGGCCCCGCCAGGCCCAAGTTGAACCGTACCCAAAAGGAGTCTTTTGGCGTTGAGCCCAGGCTTCGCAGCTTGTTGATGTCAAGCCCGGCTTGCCTCATTATCTCAAGGCTTCTGGGGTTGACGGCGTGAGCTTTGGGTTGGCCAAGCCGCGTGGGGTAGCGCGTGATTATGATGGAGGGAATTTGTTGTCTGGCGAGAAGATAGGCGGTCATCAATCCCGCGGCTCAAGAGTTAGGAAAGCTTCCATATGAACGACAAGACGATGCTGTCAAGGATGTCACCCCTGAGCCTCTATTCAACGTTGCCCAGCCGGTTTTGGAGGCGTTTCTTCAAGAAGCGGTCCTTTTGAGTGGAATGGTTTCCATCTATCCTTCGTGGGACTGGGAGGATGCCGAGTTCGGGGAAGGGAAGCTGACTTCATTGATCGCAAGCAGATCAGACCCTTCTACGACAGTGAAGATAACATCAGAGTACGTCGTAGGCGCCGATGGGGCTGATTCAATAGTCCGCTCCAAACTGTCCAACGTCATATGGGCATCACCCAATGGGATAGAAAGGCCAAAGAGATTCTACTGCTCGATTCATGCATCCGGCGACTTAACCAGATCATTTGCAAACAGAGACAGGCGCGGTCAGCTGTCCTTCTGTCTCAACCCGGACCACAGGGGAGGGCTAATTATTTATGACCCACAGCACTCTTGGGTTCATGTACGGCCCGTCGAGCTCGAAAGTGAGCCTCTTGGGAGTTTCACGGATGCCAGATGTCAGGAAATAATCCGCTCCTGTATCGGATCGAATGTGGAAGCGAAGATTCTGTCCGTGAATGTCTGGAACACGTGGCCCAAGGTAGCAAGTGCCTATAGCGATACTACTCAGCGAATCCATCTCGTCGGAGACTCGGCACATTCTTTCCCCCCTCAAGGGGGCCTGGGCATCAACACCGGGATAGGAGACGCTCACAACCTAGCATGGAAACTCGGCATCGCCATCCGCTCTGGGACGCACCTCGCGTCTTTGTTGGTTAAATATTCAGAAGAACGACAGCCTGTAGCGGTAGCAAACTCGGTTCAATCGGCATATAACGAAGCCAGGTGGCTCGAACTCAACAAGACGGTCGAAAAATCGGTGCGAAAGGCTTCGGCTGAAAGGGCATCATTCAGCTATCATGCGATAAAGATGGAGTTCGAACAGAGCCTGGCACTCAGCAAACCACATTTCGATTCCCTGGCTCTTCAGATTGGATACGTATACGACAGGAGTAGGGATCCCAAGCGACTTCTCGCAGACTGCTCGGATTACCAGCCATCGTCCGCCATTGGCGCCCGACTTCTACATGCGTGGCTTGCAAATGGTAGATCGACGCTGGATTTGATTCCCGCGGGAGAGTTCAGCCTTCTTCATTACGACCGAGGCTTGAAGTATCCCAATTCGAGCCGCAGGGTTGGCTCCAGCGATGTTCGGTTGCGCAGTGTGGACGTCTCTATCGCCGGTGCAGAAGGACCTTGGATCAGCATCATGGGGTTGAGAGGGGAAACAGCTATTTTGGTACGGCCGGATCAACATATTCTTGGTGACACGGGATCTGTAGACGAGGCATGGGCTATTATTAGCCGGTATCTTGGCAAAGAAGCTGGCTTGGTTTCAAATTAGCTTAACAGGAACTTGTATCCGAGGACACACTTGACACTAGAATCCGGCCGAATCATCAAACCCAGTGCGTGAAAGGTACGCAAGCATAACTAAGTATGTCGATGTTCCTTCACATCTCAATGACACCCAGGACCGTTCTTAGTGGGTGACAACTGGATGCGACTTGAACTGTCGCCTTCTGGTAGCTAGAGGACGCGATTTACTGTTTAACGATCGTGATTTTGTACTCTAAATCATGTCTTGGACCCAGGTTTTGACGAATAAAGATGTGGTTTGATCTACTTTAAAGGACTGAAAGCTTCCTGTATTAAATGTTGCAGAAAGGGCCGGTCGTCGACAGCATCGGAATGGCAAGACGTTGACTCGAAAAGCGTCCAAAGTGGACACGCCTATTTGATTCAGCTGCTGACTAGTCCATGACCACCCTTCTATTCGTAGACGCTGCCCAGACACTTGGTTATCGATGATTGGTCACGTTCGTGGTTGGTGCCTAAATCCCAACCAGACGTCGCCTTACAGTCACCCAGACTGTTGTGCCCCAACCCGAAGATACCAATACTGATCAACTGCTAGTCAAGAAATTGTCTCGTTTGCCCATTTTTCATCGTCTACGCCCTAGCTGAGCCTGCCAGCGGGGCCTCTTGAGTTCGAAATTATGTTGGAGCGGTCGGAAGTGCCTTGCGATCGGTGTCTGGAGATCCTCAACCACACGACCAAAAGAGCTGCCTCGAATTCCAAAGATCACCTTTCGCAGACAAGTACTAGGGCTTTGGTGGAGTCAGCCAAAGCCTGTCGTTGTTGCGAACTTCTCTGGGACCTCTTCGTGAAGCCAGCGCTGGTCCATGCCAAGCAGCGCTTTCCTAGTAACGAATTTAACTCTTGCCTACCAGTTGGCCTAGATATATCCAGTACTAAGGTACAAGACAATGAGAATCGAGTTCACTGGGCAACGATCCGCATTGCGGTGGAGGCTGAGCAACAAGGGAGATCTTTCCTCAAATATGGGTTGGTCGGCGTTTCTATTGAAGATGCAGTTGAAACCCCCGGTATTTTAGACTTGATAGCTGGCCCAAATCTGCTAAAAAAGAATGTCGCTGATCTAACTGTGCCAGACCATCGTCACCCGCCTTTCTGGACTCTCAGCTCGACCACACCCTATCTCACTCCAGCAGAGGACCGCATCCGTTGCGCGAAAGCCTGGCTTGAGACCTGCGAGAGAGACGCGCATCGCGAATGCCAGCCTATTGAAGGTTTACTGCCAACTAGGCTAATTGATATTCGGGTGCAGACAGGTATACTTCGCCTGGTGCACTCCGACAGTCTAGACGAGCGAGAAGGAAGGGTGAGGTACGCGACGTTAAGCCACTGTTGGGGGCTTGCCGGAGTGCAAGGACCCTTGAGAACCACCAGACAGACAGTGGAAGCTTTTTGCCAAGAAATACCAGAAAGATCGCTTCCACAGACGTTTCGAGATGCGGTCAGAATTACTAAGTCTCTGGATATTCCTTATTTGTGGATAGACTCTCTCTGCATCCTCCAAGACGATCCTGACGAGTGGCAAAGAGAGGCGTCTCGGATGAAGGATGTCTACTCTGGGAGTGTTGTCACCATCTCAGCCACTTACGGTAAAAACAGCAGCACGGGCTGTCTTCCGGAAGACGAATCAAAAATGAAGGTAGACATCGCGACCAAGTCATCTCCATCGTCTACCACCAATAACAATCCAGTTGGACATTTTTCATACAACCATCAAGACAATTTAGCCGGACGTCAGAAAAGCGTAATGGTCCGTCTCGAAGGACACAGTCCCCGGGGTCAGTTGGAGGAGGCCCATCTCAGCACCCGAGGCTGGGCTTGCCAGGAACAGATACTGTCACGCCGCATTCTCTATTGTCTGAACTCTGACATCCACTGGCAATGTAAACGATTCTATCATACTCGGTCAGGGCAAACTTTCGGCGGTTCGGAGTCACTCGGGCGTGGGATTGACTTAATCAAGTCTGACCACGGAGAAAGTTGGTATAAGTGGATCGAAGACTACACCAACAGAGAGTTCACAATCTCTTCAGACAGAATGCCAGCATTTTCTGGAGTTACTGAATACTACCAGAATATCACGCACCAGGAAGTGCTGCTAGGCGTTCGCCGCAAGTCTATAGCAAAGGATCTATCATGGGTGAGAATTGGATCAGAAAAGGGCCCAGCGGACACCGGAGCGCCTTCTTGGAGCTGGCTTTCTTGCAACGCACCTATCTACATAGACTACTGGCAGCGACAGGAAGGCGATATCGAACCCAAATCCTGCACAGTTGCGGTCAATTGCCGCGTTGATTGGACCGGCCCAGCAATGACCTCGGCAATTCAAACGACCGTCTTCCGTATACGAGGCCCGGTCATGAAGATGGCGATGCGAATCGCACCGGAGTCTTTACGCTGCAACCCGCCATATTTCATCGTTGGCCAGGAAGAGTCAAATTTTACGAAGGGGCCCATGCCATGGCGCTGTGCTGGACAGTTTGACCACGAAAGTCATCCCGGTGATGAAAAGACCGAATACACTTGTCTTCTTCTTTTTTCACGAAGGGAGGGTGGC